GAAAAGGCTTATAGGTTTGGATATTGATAAGCGCAAAGCCCTTTTGCTTATCGATTATATCCCAACCAACAAGTCCGTTTTGCCTAACGTTCTTCGTCGAAGTAAAACTCTCCCATCAGCAACCACCCTACCAGTTGCTTCATCGCTAAGGTCAGACCAGGCCTTTTCATCAAATCCAGTTGAGCTGTCATCTACCTCTACCCCCATACTTATCCTGACATCCCAACATCGATGCCGACGTCGACATCGTGTCCCAACAAACGCACCAGCCGATAGAACTCAGAGTCGCAGACACCGAGAATTTGAGGAATCAGCTTACGACCCTGCCAATCCTCTCATTACATAGCCTGCCATTCACTTTGGCACCAGAGTTACTGTTGCCGCCACTTCTGACAACATGCATCGTTGCAAAGCCGTTGTTGAAGACCTCTTGGCCGACTTGCCAAGAGTTGTTACAAGTTAATCCTTTTCTCCATCTCAATCCCAACCCAAACCAAAACTAAAAAGGGTGAAGAAGGCTATTCAAAAGCCTCTGTCACCTAAATTGACACTAAAGACACCTTGTTGATCTCAAGATTAGCTGAGTTCAAGAATATCTCCTCCGCTGTCGAGAAGAGGCCTCCTGATGTCGAGCCATCCGAAACTGCACAGTCGAAGAAGCTGAGGTCTGAAGGTGCAATTGGCCCGGGCTTTTTCAAAGCCGATGAGCCCTTGGCTCCAGTGATTTTAGTTGGCGATCGTCCGATGACAGTTGACGGCAGTGCCATCGACAGTACTGAGGTCGGCACTGCTGTTCTTCTGCCTACCAATCTAAATCGTATGGCCGAGATTATTGAGTATGAAAACTTTGCCTTGATGATGCAGCACTCTGTTCTTGTAAGTCCGCAACACTTGTACTTTTTGGTTTTTTACTTTAAGTTCTTAGACTTAGAAATTTTACTAACTTGCTTGTTTCTTCCTTTTTAGGCCATCCAACATGCTCACTTCTTCACAACGAAAGCCGAGGAGATGAAGAAGGAGTTGATAAAGACAACCCATGATGTGTTGGCTTTCTTGTCTCCCTAAACAATACCGAGGCCAAGATAAAGGTTCTACTGGACTAGGCCAAAATAGCCAAACATGCAAAAGACCAAGCTGATGAGAGGGTTGATGTCATGACCCGAACCCACCCCTATGGATTAAAGTCATAACCGGCCAGTAATCGAGGCATTACCTACGGCCTCAAACCAAATAGCATATACTCCATCAGAGTTAAGGGGTCAAATGGAAGCAACTTAAAAATTTTGTCCATAGAGCTGTGCTTACATGGCACATTATAACAATTCACATATATTCGTTAATAACTCACATTTGAAAAGAAATTAATCCAAAGTTCTACACATACAAGATCATTCAAGTCTAAGTCAGTCAAACCCAAAGTTTATATACAAAAATGGTCTAACATTTTCGCCAATATAGCAAAATTTTAACAAAATAACAAAAGAGGCGAAGACAAGTCTCATGCGTGAGACATTTGGGCTGACTCTTCAAGGCCTTGAATGTTTCTCACATAATTCACCGAGGCTGGTTTTGGACGTCTCTTGGCTCACCTGCATACGCATGAATGAGTGTGAGCGAAAACCCAGTGAATAATATCAAATAAAGAAAATACATGAATGAAGTTCAAAATAGATATACATATATCAAATGGCCTTGGGCCCATCTTTAGTTTTATCTAATACATTAGACGGCTTTAAGCCCGAGCCTATCAGATGGCCTCTGGCCCATTTCATTTATGTCAATCGGCCTTTGGCCCAATCATTCGCATCCGACGGCCTTTGGCCTAATTATTCATATCAAACGGCCTTTGGCCTAATCAATCGTATTCAACAGCCTTTGGCCCAATCATTCAGATCCGACGGCCTTTGGCCTAATCAATCATATCAAACGGCCTTTGGCCCAATCATATGGCATAACAAATATTTGTCCACAATTCAAATCATCAAGCTTATAAGACTTATATAGAAATAAGCAATAGGACAAACAACATACTTCAAAATATCTTTACTAAGATTACTCACAGTGATCTGCCGGTGGATTTGCTCTCATGCTTGGCCTTACACATTACATAACACATATGAGTCACAAACGATTCGATCCGTTCTTAATTCATACATCCCTCTTAGGTTTCTTTCTTATCCTTTTTAACTCATTTATAATGTTCAATGCATGCCTAAGAGTGCTTAGAAATGAAAGAGAACAAAAAATGAAGCATAAATCATCTTTACAAATTTTCTGAAACAGGGCTCCCCACTCGAGCGTGGATTCTGCCGCTCGAGTGGACCCCTTTGGTCTGCAAAAGTACTGGTTGCCTCATTGTTGTGCTTGAACGTGACTTCAGACGCTCGAGCTGATAGCCAAACATGTGACTGGACGCTCGAGCGTGATTCTACCCGCTCGAGTGGACGTCAACATCTACAAAACTGCTGGAAACTGGCATTTCACGCTCGAGCGGCCATTACCCCGCTCGAGCAAACATGCCAGATTCTGGAATTTCCAACATGCTGCTTGAAGCTCAAACTTGCATTCAAACTAATGTAACTTGCATATTATGACTCATACTTTACATGCACATCTTCTAACATGATACAAATGTTAAATTACAACATTATGAAGTTTAATTCCCTATGAATCAATTGCATACACAAACAATTCTTGCCAAATTCATCTTCAATACTTCAATTCAAGCTACCAAACTCATACCTCTATGATTTGTGCTTGCATGTGGAACATAACTCCCATTCTAAACTTAAATGATGCAAATGATGATCAAAGGTATGAATTGCCATCAAAATTCTACATGGATCGTATGTTTCATGTCATATTACACAAATTTATAGCAATCTTTACATGCATGTGCATTTTAACTTTAAACTCACCCAATTCAACACAATTCATATTCTTGACTACAATATAACATGAATTCACAATATTACAAACTTAAACCCATGAATTCATGCTCAAATGCTTACCTAGAGGCTCAAATCTTCACAATTCTAGCCAGCTTTTGAGCTTAGCCTTTCAAATTCCCAAGCTCTTAGTTCAATCTCCAATTTGAGCTCCCTCTCTCTCTATAATCTGCTCATTCTCTCTCTTTAGAGTGAAATCTCAGCCAAAATGAATTCAAGAGAAGGAATCGAGTGTAATAAGGCCCTTTATATAAGCTTTCCTAATCAAATTTGATTAGGCCAAACAACGAAGCTTAAATTAATCATTCTGAATCTAATTATTTTGATCCAAATAAGTTTTTCAATTAAATTTCACCGTAAACTCTAAAAATTATGCTAATCACAATGGCGTAGTCAATTTCAGTTTCTGTAGCCGATAAGGCCTTTAATTTTCTATTCATAACAGTCAGTTGAACAAATTTTCCTACGGTGAATAGATAGAAATTCAAAACCACTTATAATCATATAAATGGCACTCAAAATCATATTAAACACATAATCACAATCACAATTAAGATTAATTAGCATAGTACATAACAGGGTTATCACAGTTGACGCGGCTGAGGCTGTGGCCGAAGTACTCAAGTCCGAGATTAAGGACGTTGAGGCCAAAACCACGGAAGCCAAACCTGAACTCCAAGAGATCTTGGCTACCAAAGAGGCCGAGATCAAGGTGGCCGACGAGAAGGCGTTTTCAAAGGGTCAGTCAGTTGTTCGAGATGTGTATAGGCCTAGGTCAACCAAGCTTACAATCGAGGCTTTTATCTCGGCTGGACAACTGCTATGAACAAACTCTCAATCCCAATGGATTCCCCTCTCAGAGACATAAACCAGTTCCAAGTGCCTTTCCCTCCCTCTCCAAAAGACTCCAAGGACAAAGCCGAAGAGGAGGACGCTGAGGCTAATGATGCTGATAAAGAAGAGGTTGCTACTGGGGCGAAGTCCCCTACTCTGAATGAGAAAGTCCTAGACTTGACTCCAGATGAGGAGGATGAGGTCTCCAAAAGTGACTCCCCCATGAAGACCACTTCTGAAACCGAGATCCAGACCGCCGAGAAGAGTCTTGACCAGACCCTTCTCGAGATCGATGCCAAGATTGAGGTTGAGAAGACTGCCAAGAAGTTTTCCCAATTGTCTGCCGAGGTCGAAACACCGTCAACCACCTAAGCAAAACAGTCTACTTAGAGTTTTTTTCTTACTTATACTTTTCTGCTCTAAACAATGTAATCGTTTTGTTTGTTTTGAACAATGTTAGTTTTTTTTTGGCCGATGTGCCTTCTACCATTGCAATTTAAACAAGTCTTTTGTTTGCCATGCCTTCTTTTCTTCTAAGTACTGAATGGATGCTTGTTTCCTTAAGCTTTATCTGTCTTTACTATCTTTGTATGCTTCCATACTTCAAATATTTTTGCAATCCTGCCAAGTTCATCTTAACTATGTAATGACTTCAGGTTAGAACACATTTAACATGTATTATCTCAGATACACTTCGTCTCAGGTGTGCCCTTAGTTGGTCACCTCAAACCAACTTGCCTCGAAGTCCACTATTTGCTGTGATCTCGCCAGATTGGTACTTCATAAAAATTCTTTAAGTATCTTGCAACAAGTGTTACTTCTTTTACTTGTGCTTATTTTCCTTAAGCAATACTTCATTCTTTTAACCCCTCCAAGTTTTGACAAACTGTTTGGTTATCTCGGATAACAAATACCTCGGGTATTCCCTGATCTGGTTACCTCGGCTGACTCCAACTTGTAAATTATTGTCAAAAATTTCAACAAATGTCAAGTATATTCTACATTCCTACTTTCTGCCCCCCTAATGTGAACCTAAGTACCATTTATATTCACATTAAGCATGCAAACCCAAATCTGGCTGGGGTCTGATTCAAACAAAAATTAGCCGAGGTTTTCTACCTCGGTTTCTTTGTTAATCTAACTAGATCAAACTTAGTTCAACTCTATCATATGCCAAGCAACTTTACCATATGATAAGTCAAAATTATTCGTCATGTTTCAATCGGAAACATCGTCACAAGACTGTTCAGTCCTATCGCACAAATTGCAACAATTTATTTATAAAAACAAAATCGAACCGGTATTTTATTAAAACTTTGGCTAAATAAAATTGTACAAAAATCTCAAAAACCTAATGAAAGAAAAACTTCAGATTGCAAGTGTTCCAAGGTTGTGGCAACTCTTTGCCATTAGTGTCTTCAAGCCGATATGTCCCATTGCCGGCAATCGAGTTGATTCTATAAGACCCCTCTCAGTTTGGGCCAAGTTTGCCTTCCTTGGGATCCTTCTTATTGCCAATGAATTTTCTAAGGACGAGGTCCCCAACCTTGAACTCCCTTGGGTTGACCTTCTCGTTATAAGCCCTAGCAAGTTGCTGATGGTATACCCCCAGCCGAATTGCTACTCTCTCCCTCGTTTCCTCCAACAGATCCAGATTTTGGGTTAAGAATGCCTCATAAATTCCATTCTCTACTCCCTGACTTCTGATTCCAGGGATATCGACTTCTAGTGGGATAACTGCTTCTATGCCATATGCCATGGCAAAAGGAAACTCCCCTGCTGATCTTCTCAGCATAGTCTGATATGTCCATAGCACATTGGGCAATTCTTCCACCCATTTTCCCTTGGCTGCTTCCAACCTCCTCTTGATCCCATCCAAGATGGTCTTGTTGGATGCTTCTGTCTGTCTATTACTCTGGGGAAAACTAGGAGTAAAGTAATAGTTTTTAATTTTGTATTTTGCACAAAAGCTCTTAATCAGCTTACTGTCAAACTAAGTACCATTGTCTGCTATAATGGCCCATGGGATCCTGAATCTGGTTATTATGTTCTTCTAGATAAAGTTCTTCACATCGATATCTCGAATCTTTGCAAGGGGTTCGGCCTCTACCCATTTTGTAAAGTAGTTTTTGGCTACTAATAAGAACTTTCTTTGTCCAGTTGCCTATGGCAGTGGTGCCACTAGATCCATACCCCACTGGGCGGACGACCAAGGACTGGATACTGGGTTCAGATTTGCTGCTGGTTGATGTATCAAAGGTGCAAACCTTTGACAGTTTTCACACTTCTTGACATAGGCTTTAGCATCCTTTTGCATGTAAGGCCACCAGTATCCCTAAGTTATGGCCCTATAAGCAAGTGACCTGCCTCCACCATGGCTTCCGCAAACTCCTTCATAGATCTCATATAAAAAGTCCTCTACCTGAGAGGGGTGAACACACCTCAAATGGGGTCCGGTGAAGGACTTTCTGTAGAGATGCGTCATGACCCAAACCCGCCCCTATGGGTTTAACACCGTAACCGGCCAATAATCCGTGGATTACCAAAGGCCTCTGAACAGAATAACAAATAATAAGGGGCTGCGGAAGCAATAATACAAAATAGACAAGGTCCAATGAGCTGTGATAACGTACATGGGACAAAACATTTCAAAACTTATTTATATATATAAACATGCCAGTCCAGGTACACAATATTTACAAAGTATACATCCCAAGACCTGTCTTTACAAAACACATACAGAGACTAGCATGAATACAAAAACAGCCAGAGCATTAGACTTCGACCGAAACCTACTCGGGAGGCGCAACAGTTGGCTGACAAAACAGACAAAAGGCCGTCAACTCTGCCCCTAGTCATGTGCCGGCTCACCTACATACATAATATAAACTGTGAGCGAAAGCCCAGTGAATAATAATAGAGTAAAGGGTTTCAATTAATGAGTTCGTATAGATTCAAAAATCATAATTCAGTTCATATCAAAATCATAGTTTATCTAGATCATATACAGATAGAAATCATAAGTCATGATTAAGTTTACGTCATACATCCATTAGCTTTAACAGAACAGAACGTATACACGTGGGTTACGAATAACAAGTTCCATAAAGGAATCTCCGGATCCGGGTAACAGAACAGAACAGAAGCTGAGCCCCCGTGATAGGGCCTCTAGTACGGGTAACAGAGTGCAGACAGAAATAAGTTCCGTAAAGGAACCTTCAATATCGGGTAGCAGCTAACAGATATCACATGATGCTAAGGATGTCACGAATACATATCAGAAATTGAACAATCATTCATTGTACAAAACATATCATTTCGAAAAACAAATCTTGTTTTATCACACAGAAAGTAGATACAGTTTGAACATAACTTTACTAAATTATTACTCACAGTTGGCCTTGAAACAGACAGACAGAGCAGATTGATCACACGATACGCGGCACGTGACCTACATAACACATAACGGACACACACTTGAAACACACATTCTAATTGCACAAAACTTACGTCGTTGGTTCTTAGTGTGTTTCTAACCTTAAATCCTCACTATAGAGTCTTAAACATGGCCTAGGAATGCTTAGGATGGAATGAGGATGCAAAGATGCCTTGGAAAATATTTTTCAAAACTTGCTGAAAACAGGGGTCTCACTCGAGCGTAGTTTTCTTCGCTCGAGAGAGCTTGTCAAAACAGAGGGGTCGCTCGAGCGTAGACTCCTTCGCTCGAGCGGTCTGTAAAAATATAAAAGTATTGGTTGTTAAAATTTTACACTCGATACCCGCTCGAGCGTGAGACACAGCCCTTCGCTCGAGCGTAGGTCTCGTCGCTCGAGCGTGCGTCTGTGCGCACCAAAAACCTGAGAGCTTGCAATTTACGCTCGAGCCACCATTCCTTCGCTCGAGCAGAGCTCTGAACAAACGATGGTCGCTCGAGCGTGGAATCCTTCGCTCGAGCGAGGAAGCCAAATTCTGGAATTTCCAGGTTTGCCTCCCAAGCTCAAACCAAGCATTCAACACCTCAAAACTCGACCTCTTGGGCCCATTTTCTGGAAAACACTTGTAAACTCATAGTATAAGATGTTTCAAAGATCAATTTGTAAAATCAAAGCTCAAAGGTGAGTCAATTAAACACAATTTCAAATAAAATGTCAAGAACATAACTTAAATGTAACATGCATGAATTCTCATGACTTCTAATGCTCCAAAACAAGATCCAAAACAAGATTAAGCTCAAGAATAGGATGAATTCATGGACTATAACAAAAATGTGGACATGCATGTGGAAATTCATGAAGAACAACTCCAAAATCCAAGAATATGTGCATGCATGCATGAATTCACTCTCAAATCCAACTCTTAAACCAATTCTAGACTTTAAACTCTAATCTTCCATGAACCATGCAATATATGATTTTAATTTAACAATCAAGAAGGTGATTCTCCTACCTTATGCCTTGAATTCAAGAATGAAAGCTCAAAATGCAATCTACTCTTCAATCTTCTAAGTCTCCAAGCCAAATTCTTGATGAAATCAAACTATCTCTTATCTCTCTCTCTCTCTATTCTGTTTATTGCCCTCAAAATGGCTGAAGAAAAGTTGTGTCAAAAGTGTATGAAATGAAGAGGGGTTAGCCTAGGTTATTCCACTAGATGGCAAACTTGTAGATAAGTCCAACTTTTATAATTTAGCTTATTTAATCCAATTTAATCATACCAAATCAAATTTCAACTAAATGTACCATAAAATCACATTAATTCTAATTAACACAAAACACTAATCAGTTTCGGATTTGGCCGCCGATAAGGCCTTCAATTGTAGTTTAAAACATAAAGCAGGAACAGATCATTTTATGGCAAACAGATAAAAACACTAAGATAATGCAATACGTATGCAATTTAATTCTGGATTCCTTCTAAATTACTGTTAGGCATAATTAATCATGGTTTAGCATTAATCGGAGGTCGGGGTTATTACAAGATGGCCTTCTGCTAATAAGTAGAACCTGGCCGACTTTAATTTGGTCTTGTGCGCTTCTGTCTTATCCGTTGGCAGCCTGCCATCTTTGAGAAACATCACTGTGGCATCCATCTAGCTTGGATCCATTTCTACACACATTACCTCATATTTTGCTATTAGAGGTTCCACACTTGGTTTCGTCAAATAATCAATCATGATTGTCCTTGGCTCCCCTGACTTTATTACGCTAGCTAAGGCATCGGCATGGCTATTTTCATCTCGACTAACCTGCTGTAGTCGGTAATCTTGGAATAGTGCCAGTAACCTGACAATCTCTTTGACATAGGCTATCATCCTTTCATCCCAGGTTGCATACCTGCCTGTCGCTTGATTCACAATAAGTTGGGAGTCACAAAAGACTACTACCTCACCGGCTTCCACTGTTACTGCTAGTTTCAGTCTAGCAATCAGTGCCTTGTACTTTACTTCATTGTTGGAGGCCTTAAATCCCAAACGGATTGCGTGCTCTATCATTCGTCCCTCTAGTGATACCAAAACCACTCCTGCCCCCGCTCCTTGACAGTTTGAACTTCCGTCAACAAATAGGCAGAAGAAGTCACCGATGTAGATATTGGAGGATTTTGGTTTCTCTTCATTTTTTTTGTGCTTTTGGTGCGGGGTTCTTGGGCCCCAGTTGGGTTTCCTCTGGTTCGCCTAGACAACCCAAGCCGCGACTCACCGGAGCCCAACATGGGATGGCACCAGGGGTAAACTCAGCCACAAAGTTGGCTAGAACCTAGCCCTTGATTGTTGTTCTAGGCCTGAATTCCAAGTCATATTGGTCTAGCACCACTACCCATCTGGCTATTCTGCCTACCAGATCTCGATACTGCAATAGGGACTTCAGGGGATACTTAGTCAGTACCACAATCTTGTGGGCTTGGAAGTAATGATTCAACTTCTTAGAAGCCATCATCAGTGCTAATGTCAATTTCTCCAAGGGCAGGTACCTGGTTTCGGTACTTGCTAAGGTTTTACTTAAATAATATATTGTCTTTTGTTCTCCCTCATTTTCTCGGATTACTACTGCGCTTACTGCATGTTCTGAAATTGCCAAGTATAGGAACAATTCTTCTCTAGGTATTTGATTTGACAGAACTGGAGTTGTTATCAAGTACTTTTTCAAGTCGGCCAAGGCAATTTTGCACTCCTCTGTCCACAAAAAATCTATGGCCTTCTTTAACATACTAAAAAATGTTTTACGCTTATCTGAACTTTGGCTAATGAACCTATTCAGGGCTGTTGCCTTACCGGTTAAAATCTGGACCTACTTGGCTGATGTCGGGCTCTTTAAGTCAATGATAGCCTTGATTTGATCTGGGCTTACCTCAATGCCCCTTCTGGTGACCAAGTATCCCAGGAACTTACCAGACCCGATTCCAAATACACATTTCAAAGCATTAAGTCGGAGCAGATATGCTCTTAGGATGTCAAAAACTGCCTTCAAATCGGCCAGATGACTCCCAGGTTCCTTGGTCATCACCACTATGTCATCAATTTAGACTTCTACTGTCTTCCCAGTCAAATGTTTAAACATTTTGGTCACTAACCACTAGTAGGTTGCTCCTGCATTCATCAACCTGAAAGGCATCACTCTGTAACAATAGAGTCCTTTTGGGGTGATAAATGTTGTCTTCTCTTTATCTGGGGCATACATTACTATTTGGTGGTAACATCTGTATGCATCCAGGAAACTCATCCGTCCATGTGCTGAAGTGGTATCTACTAATTAATTAATCTTAGGCAGTGGAAAAATGTCTTAGGGCAAGCCTTATTCAGGCTGGTAAAGTCCACACAGACCCTCCACTTGCCATTCTTATTTTTCACTACCACTGTGTTGGATAGCCATGTGGGATAGTGTACTTCTCGGATGGCCCAGGCTTCCAGCCACTTGTCCACTTCCTCTTCAACTGCTTCCACATGTAGTAATGTCGGCCTCTTTGCCCACTGAATGACAGGTTTAGCCGACCTGTCTATATTGAGTCTATGGCAAGTGACCTCGGGGTCAATGCTAGGCATCTTATATGGCGTCTAGGCAAACACTTCTATGTTTGTTTGCAAGAAAGCCTCCAACTCCCTTTCCTCCTCCTCGGCTAAGTCTGAGCCAAGAATAAGGAAGCGTTCTTCGTCATCTTCTTTTACCAAAATCGTTTTCAAAGCTTCTTCACTCTTGTCTGTTGGTTCTTTGCTGACATCATCTAGGACCTCCATGTCATCGTCTTCAATTTCTACTATCTCTGTCTCTCGCATGTTGCAGATGGACTTCATTTCTACAATGGAGAAAATTTTTGCTTGCACCTGATCCCTTCTAACCTCCTCAATTCCATGCTCAGTTAGAAAACCGCAATAGTTGGTGCAACATTGAAAGAACAGCCCTCATTGCGTGCAACCATGGTCTTCCCAAAATTACATTGTAAGGGGAGGGGGTATCAATTACTGTAAATTCTGTGTTTACCTTTTTCATGCTTGCCTGCACCTCCAAATTGGTGGCTCTTAGAGACCACATTGGTGTTTCGTTGAATCCAACCATCGGGCTGTTAGATTGCTCCAGATCATCTAGGTGAAGGCCAAGCTCTTTGTGACATCTAACATACATGATGTCACAAAAACTGCCTTAATCAACCAGTATGTGCCTCACTTGGCACTCTCCAATCTTCAGAGTTATCACCAAGGCATCATTGTACGGATGTTGCACCATATCCAGGTCTGCCTCAGTAAATGAAACCATTGGTCCTTGGTATTCATTTGTCCTAGGCCTCTTCTGTTGGACCTGATACACATGTTGTAGGTGCCCCACTCTCTTAGTCTCCCTTTGTATATCATTTTCATTCACCTTCGAGTGAATTACATTAATCACCCGAGGTCCCTCTACTTGCTGCTGTGGAGGTGGTGTTGCCAGTGTCTGGGTAGCCTTGTTTGCTTTTCCCTCGTCCTGGCCTCATCTACTAGGTCTCTCAGGTGACCCTGTCTGGCCAAATGCTCCAAGTGTGTCTTCAGAGCCCTACATCCCTGAGTCAAGTGTCTATCCTCATTATGGTAAGCACAATGCTTCCCAAGGCTCCTTCCCATAAACTCACCAGGGACCTTCTCTAGCGCTCTGTAATATGATTGGTTTCTGATCTGTTCTAGAACTTTGTAGACCAAGATCCTGAATATAGTGGTGACTGCCTGTGCAACTCTCAACCCTGTTTCCTACTTGTTGAAACTAGTGTTGCCTCAGCCTCACTTCGGTGAGTCGTTTCTTTTCTTTTGCGTTAGTGTCTTCTTTCCTGGCATATCCTCTTCTGCTCTGGCATACTTCTCGATTAGTGCCATGAGTTCCTCCATACTTTTTGGTAGAGTTTTCATCTTCCAGGCCGTTTTTGAATGACATGACCGTCAGCTCCTGGTTGCATACCGGTATTCGGTTGAATACCTCATAATACCTTTTGGCATAAGCCTTGAGGCTTTCTCCCTCACCAATGTTCAGAGCTAGCAGGGAGTCCACCTCAGTGGCTACAACTTACTTATAACAAATCTAGCCACAAACATTTCGGCTAAGCCTTCCCAACTCTTCACAGTTCTTTTGGCAACTTGTGAAACCAACTTGAGACAATCTCCCCAAAGGATGAGGGGAATACCTTGCACAACAACTGCTTGTTCCCGCTATACAAAGCCATTGAATTCAAATATAACCTGACATGGAAATTAGGATCGGACTTACCATTATAAATCTGGAACCTCGGCATGTGAAACCTCTTTGGGGCCTCAAATGTATCCAATTCCACAGAAAACGGTGTCCTCAATTTGATGGGGAATATGATCTCAATGTCGTGTCGCTTCCTCTAGAGGTAATCCCTCAAATCCTCCTTCGTTTAACCGGGAGCTCGGCTATCAACAGATTTTAGCCTTTTTGGCGTGTTGCACCCGGTGTCATTGTGCGTCCTTTTGGACTTTTCCTCGTTCACTGTATCAAAGCAAAGTCCCTTCTCCTAGATATACCAAGATTCTTTGACATAGGTCCCCCTTGTTCGCAGCGTCTTTTGCTTCTTACCTCTTGCTGATTCTGTTCGCCCGGCATCTCGTGAAGGCCGATGTGAATGTTCCTTCTCTTTGTCATGTTGAGGGACTACTGGAATTGTTTTCTGCTCCCCTTTTTGGGCGTCGGTCTTGGCCGCTGGTATCAGCGTGTCCTGCAACAGGTACGGTGGTTGCATTACGTTGTTTTGCATCATGAAGTTGAAAACTGATTGTAAGTCTGCCAACTTGTTTGCCATCCCCTTCATCTTGCCGTCCCTTCTCAGTCATCTATCCTTCTATACCTGGAGGTTTCTTTCATTGTAATACTCATCTCGACTTACTTTCTTCGAGGCATCTCCCTCTTTGTCGACGTTTTTCTCCCCAGGATTCTAATCCTGTGCTCCTTCATTATGGTTTTCTTCTTCAATGTTAGGATTGACATGTTTACCACTCCCACCTAGGACGTCATCCCCAATCTTTTCTCCCTGCCCGTTGTTGGCCATCTATTCTCCTTAAGTTCCCATAGACGACACCAAATTATGGGTGTTGATTTCTGACCACACAACCAAATGGGGAACTCAACTGGAGATCACCGACAAAATAGATTGAGCCCAACAACTTACACAAGAAGATAAGAATCCGGCGATGGTTCGTCCACTCGGGGGTACTCCGACAATCAAGTCAGTAATCTCTCAAAGATATCAAATAGTACTTAAACTCACAATCTACTGTTCACAATATATTACCCCTACCTGAGACCCATGGAGGTGTCCTACTTTTATAGCCAGCACTGACCTGATCCCTTTAGAAGCCTAGCTTCAGGGGACTCAAGCTTAATGTTCATCCTGGACCCTTATCTAGATAGAGATAAACTCCTCTTGAGCCTCATCTTTATCCAGAATGAGATTCTCCCCTGTTCTAGGACTCTTGTTCCTTATCTTAAATTATGAGTGTTGATTTTTTACCACACAATCAAACGGAAAACTCAGCTAGAGAGCACCGACAGAATAAATAAAACCCAACAACTTGCACAAGAAGATGAGAATCTGGCAGTGGTTCATCCATCCAGAGGCACTTTAACGATCAAGTTAGTAATTTCTCAAAGATATCAAATAGTACTGAAACTCACAATCTACTGCTCACAGTATATTACCCATACTTGAGACCCATGAGGGTGCTCTGCTTTTATAGCCGGCACTTACGTGATCTCTTTAGAAGCCTAGCTTCAGGGGACTCAAGCTCAATGTTCATTTTGGACCCTTATCTAGATAGAGATCAACTCCTCTTGAGCCTCATCTTTATCTAGAATGAAATCTTCCCTTGTTCTAGGACTCTTGTCATTTATCTGTTCATCTCGGATTCTGGTATCTCCGCAAATAACCTTGGCCTATTCGAGATCATCTCGGCAACATGACTAGGCCACGTAACACCTTGGCTGACACTTCGGCGTCACCTCAAAATATTTTCCAACAGTT